AGCTGGAGAAAAGTGTCAGGAGTGATCTGTGACAGAAGAGTGTCAGCTAAGGTGAAGGGAAAGGTTTACAGGACAGTGGTGAGACCAGCCATGATGTATGGTTTAGAGACAGTAGCAATAGGCAGAAGACAGGAGGCGGAGCTGGAGATGGCAGAGTTAAAGATGCTAAGATTCTCTTTAGGAGTGACAAGAATGGACAGGATCAGGAATGAGGTCATTAGAGGGACAACACAGACAGGAAGGTTTGGAGAAAAAGCTAGAGAAGCCAGATTGAGATGGTTTGGACATGTGCAGAGGAGGGACAGTGGATACATTGGTAGAAGAATGTTAGAGATGGAGCTACCAGGTAGGAGACAAAGAGGAAGGCCAAAGAGGAGATATATGGATGCAGTGAGGGAGGACATGCAGATAGTTGGAGTCAGAGTAGAAGATACAGAGAACAGGGAGAGATGGAAATCAATGATTTGCTGTGGCAACCCCTGAAAAAAAGGGACAAAGCCGAAAGAAGAAGATGAGAAGTTTCTTAATGAAATTTTAGATCTTCAATCACATCTATCCACTAGGGAGTAGGTTTCAGGTACAATTTATATTTATTGAATTTTTAATTTGCATGCAAATAACTCCGTGTTCTGTTGAAGTTTGTACATTAGATAGGAACCTCAAGAAATAGATGCTCCATAATAAAAATCAGTTTTTCCCAAAGTTTTATTAATTTTATTCTTTTACAGTTCTTTAAGTGGAAGTAAAACGGTGACATAATGAGCCAAATACTCTTCAATAAATACTCAACAAGGATGTTTTTGGCATGACAACTGAACAGGTGTCAGAAGAAGCTCACCATCAGAAGGCTTAATGCTGTTTAACCTGTAGTTTACTGGTGCAGCACCATCTAGTGGCTCACAACGAAATGTCTCAATACAGTTCATGCTTTGAAGGATTTCCCTAGAGACAGTGATACGACTTCTACTTTCATTCATGATCCCTGCTTTGCAGCAGCACACATTTGCTCCATGAACAGCTCAACTGACCACGTTACAAAAGGCTTCTTTCATTTGCTGAAGAGAAAAGAACGAGTAAATTCAAAAACTACTGTATAAAACAGAGGGAGAAGGTAGAAAAGAGGAACATAAGAGTAAGGAAGTGGCTGTGAACAGAGCCACGGCTGTTGAAAGTGCACAGGAGTTGTGATGTGGACGCGACAGAACGAGGGTCACAGGCTCTGGCAGCATTGCAGTTTGTTTCCCTTCTGACTGTCGGTGGTTGGTGGGACGCTAATGTCCACCACGTTGTTGCCTGGGGACTCGTCGTGTGCGGATCTGTCTGCTATCTGCTTCTGTGACACTATACGGTAGATTTCTGCAGAAGGAAGTCAAACAAAGATGCTATTAAGGAAACCTGGTTTAAAAGTCCACATCTCTCTCTTTTAGACAATGTCACACGTCCTCAACTGTGTCATCTGGTCCAATAGCTTTCCAATGGTCTTGTCCAAGCTGCACTTATTTCCTTCTGACTAATTCCTTGCACTTCCTAATTCTATCTGCCTGTCATCTGTCTCTTTTTCTGTTGTTTCTATCACTAATCAGTTTATTGAATTCACATTCTTCTTTCTTAACAATGTTTACTCATTAGCACAGTGTTTCCCAGCCTTTTTTAGTAGCTGTCACTTGTGGAGTCACATGACCACAGCCGCCAATCAAGATGGGCACACTCAGCTATTTTTATATTATGTTTAACATATCCTGCATTTTATTTTAACTCAATTCATATTCATGAAAGTGAAAGAATAATTAGTTGTGAAAATATTTGTTAATATTGAGTAATTATTTTAAACAATTACTAGCCCTTAGAGGTGACCACACATGGGGTTACACCCTTTAGGTTGAAAGACGATGCATTAGCATGTTGCCCTCTATACTTTAACGAGAAGTTGTAGTCAAACACTGACCAACCAATACAGAAAGGGGTGAAACCACTTCAACATCCTACAGCATCTGATGTTGGTTAGACGCCATGTTACAGTGGAAGGAAAAAAAAAATCAACTAATATAATGACCCTGAAGTGGACTGTGGTTTGAATGTTGTCAATATCACCTTGAACCTTAGTGCAATTGTAAAATCTATTGAAAACAAAGACATCACAACAAAATAAAATACACTATGAAAAAAAAGTTAAAAGGTTAAAAGTAATGCAGTAACAATTATGATGAATAATCATCATAATTGATCATAATCATCATAATCCTTCCACTGTAACATGACGGATGCCATGACAACCCACATAAATGGGCGTAGGGCAGAAACTATCGATATACTGAATAAAATATAAATAAATTGTTTTAAAAAAGAAAATCAAAATATCACCGTAAGTAAAGTATTACAGTACCGTACCACCATACACTAGAGACTACACACCCCAGGATAGAGTATTGTTTTTTTTCTACCTCTTGCCTAACACTAAAAAACACAATATAAATGTACTATTTAATGTTTTTCGTTTTCATAAAGCTTTCCTTTTTGTTTAGCCCAATGTCCAAAGATGTAAACAATCTCTAAAAGTAGTTTAGCTTTAATTACGGTTATTTCAGAAACTAACTAAAACGTTTTGTAGATGCATGTGATACATGATATATTTTCCTCACCTGTTAAAATGTTCTTAAAGGCCTCTTCTACATTTGTGGAGTCCAATGCTGAAGTCTCAATGAATGACAGCGTGTTCTTCTCTAATAATGGAACGGGAAAAACAGACAAACATCAGCAATCCTATATATGATTTTTGTTTCTAAACACCTCTATTTTTTGCAACCACATCATGTTCACTGTTAACTAGTTCCAGCGAAAGCCACACCATTTTATAGGGCATCTGTACTTTTGTAATATATATTTGCTGCAAATGTACAGGATGCAACTGAAAAAGATGAAGACCTGTCTTCATATATTTTGTATTTTTCTGATTTAAAAAATGTATATATGTATATAGGTTCTTTCTTTGTTAAATAAATGAAAAGGTACTGTATAACAGAGGACGATTTTCTAAAGCCCTAAGGGTTAGTTGGTATGAGCTAAGATACATGCTGATTTAGGTAGCTTCAATGGTGGTGATTATGGTGATTTTATTACTATTGTGATCTGGGGGAAAACAAGAAGTCGTGATTAAGTTCTGCTCTGCATAACTGTGGTCACGTCTGAAAACAGTTTGACAATATAATGTAACCTGTGTGAGCCTGAGAGAAATCAATTCAACATTACACTTCTAATGTATCCATTCACTTAAGTGAATGACTCCTGTTTATCAACATGTTCAGCACTTAGTAAGGGAAAAATCAATTATGCATCTTTGATACGAGTGCAGCTATGAGACATACTCATCTTTTGCTGTCATTTACCTGCAAAGGCCCGAGCCTCATCAGTGGGCACCGCCCTGAGGTGTCGGAGGTCACTTTTGTTTCCAACCAGCATGATGACAATGTTGTTGTCAGCGTGGTCCCTCAGCTCCTTGAGCCAGCGTTCTACATTCTCATACGTTAGGTGTTTGGCGATGTCGTACACCAGAAGAGCACCAACTGCGCCCCGGTAATACCTAGTAACAGCAGGACACCAAATTAGTGTACAACTTAATCAATATACTGTGCACTGGTGTACGGACTCACAAAGTACGTAAACGTACGCTGAGGTGATTGCTCTGTAGCGTTCCTGTCCAGCCGTGTCCCAAATCTGAGCCTTTATCGTCTTGCCGTCCACCTGGATGCTGCGGGTGGCAAACTCCACCCCTATGGTGCTCTTGCTCTCCAGGTTAAACTCATTTCTTGTGAATCGAGACAGCAGGTTGCTCTTCCCCACTCCAGAATCTCCAATCAGCACAACTATGATGAGAACAAAGTCATTTGTACAACTTGAAAATTCATACCGGAGTCATACCAACCTCAGGATCACATTTGTCTCTGTCCTTAATTGTCACCAATTTCATTAAAATGAGAAGGCACATAAATAGGGCGCCTTACTGGGAATTAAAATAAAAAGAACAATAATAGTCAATAGTATTATTTCATCTCACATTGTGACATACGTGTGTGTTCACACGTGTGACTTGTCATTTTGAGCTGTTGATTTTGCATTCACTTAGTTACTTTTCTTATTCATTCATCTACTAATGCTTCATCCTGTTTTGGCTTTGGGTTGAACGAGTGACCAATTTGCTGTAGGAGCGTGCTATCCCCGATTTTTATTTAACCATCTTTAAACAGAGAAAATAGCTTTTTATCAGCAAATACACTGGTGGAGTGGTGAGGTTTTCAGTAGCTTTGTGCACAAACATACAGTAGTAACACACCTGTCGTTATTTTTAAAATCATCATGTTTCCATAGCAACAAAGTGGAGACTCTGCAGCCTGGAAGGTGTATTTCAGAAGTTCTGAGTGCAAACTAATGTTGCAGGAAAATCAGACTGATGATTAAGACTATTATATGTAAAGAATGTCATTATAAAAAGTACAAAATAAGTGTGATTAAAAAGAACAATTAACTGAAACCAGTCAACAGCTAATTGTGTAACCCTTAGTCATGATAAGATCACTCTGTTCTCTACCAGTGCAGCTGCATTTTACTGTTTTTTTTTAAACCAAACTTATATTTAAATGAATGTATTCAAATGTGTTGCTACTGTCAACAGTGAGGCTGAGAAACCACGTACAGTAATGGGTCGTGCTGTTGTCAGGTCATTGTCACTTTTTGCATTCACTATTGTCTTACACGTCTTGTACTCACTGATTCCAAACCACTGTGCCGTGACACGCTAGTGTGGCGTGAGAACTCCTCCCTGTACCATGAAAAATTATCCAATTTCACCTAATTGGTCTGAAGCTTATAACTGAGCTACTGCAAATAAGTTTTCTTTAACTTGTACTTCTTCTTTTTTTCATTATCACTCATTTAAAATCTCTTTAAATATAGCAGCTTATGGAAAAGAAAAGAAACATTTTATTATCAAGAAAAAGGTGTCAGTAAATCTTATCTATAACCCAATCATGTGACATATTGCAGCAGTAGTGGCCTTTGCACTGAGAGGATAATACACTTCCTCTGATTCAGGAAAAACTGCCACAGAGACAATAATGTATGGCAAATGAAATAAAAAAACGGTTAAAGTCTGAGCACACATTGATCAGTGCTTCTTAAAAATCATTATGAACCATATTGTTGTGATTCCTAACTTTAACACTTGTACGTCTGCTGACAAAGGGAAAAACCTTGCCTTCTTTAGAGGGTGGAGAATAAAAGTGTTTCACAATAAACCATTTTACTTCATACATTGTGTGTGTGTGTGTGTACACACACACACCCCTTTTTAGCAACTTTCATCTGTGACAATTTGTCTACACATTTAAAATGTCTCCAGCACATTTTAGTTCTCTAATTGGCTAACTAGAAAACGTCTCATAGATTTTAACACTGTCTACAGTAGAACGAGATACGTTGTTTTGAAGTAAATGGATTTTAAGATGCGAGTTCGTTATAATTTATCAGAGGCATTTCCGCATCAAAAGAAACAATTATTTAGAAAAATGTTATATACCTCCTTGGGAAAAGGTTGAAATATAAAATTATTTAACCGGACCAACAGATCAGTATAGGATTATGAAATTACGAGTTCTTGAGCAGCTAACGGCTCCGCCCGTTAACTTAGCTACTAGCATGTGAGGCTAAGTGCCTTCATTTGTAATGCAAAATGTATGCTGTTTCACCTCAAACAACCAGTGTTACGCTCGTTAAATCTAATTCTAAATAGTATTTTAGTAAGCTGCTAAATAACATTATTTATTGACACCAGCTAATGATATAACCTGACGACGCTAAACCTTAGCCTGCTAACGTTAGTGTGAGCTTTGGATATTTCCCAGAAACATATTTCAATAAACTGCGTAATTTATAAACACTTATGCACCCTACCTTTAAACAAGAAATCATACTCGTCGTCTCTGTTTCCCATGGTCAGATAAAGTATCTGTGAACGACCGCGTGACGAAAACTGAAGTGATGACAAAACTATCCAGTCCTTGCCACAGATGAGTGCAGAATTGACAGGAAACGTTGCGCATGTAGCGTAGGAGAAGCGAAGCAACTGAGATTCACAGCAACGACAACCGCTGCCACATCACGTGACTGCGTCCAATTTTTAACGTTTCTTTAGCGCAAAAGTAGTTTATACAATTACTTTAATTTAATGTATATTTTAGTGCTTTAAAATATTGATTACTAAGCACAGTAATTAACACCAGTGTGGAAAAAAATCATACAGTATTTTCCAAAATATAAATGATAATAGTGACGAGGATAGTTTCTCAATATTAAGAGGCAGTTTCTCAACAGTTAGTTTCCCTATAATATTAGATAGTATCTCTTTGTTAGTAATTATTTTCTCAACACACTGGCAAAATCGTACGGAGCCCTTAAAGGGAAAAAAGAGAGAAAAAAACAATAATATCACGTATTTACCCTTCACGAACCTCCCTACACTGTTATCAACACTCGAACAACAACAACAGTGCCCTCTTGTGTCTAACTGAGGTATCCTACATTAATTAAAAACTGACCATATATACAGTACATTGTCACGCATGGCATGCCGGTATCTTAGATTTCTCAACCGTACGTACTGTACATGATTGTTTTTTTTTTTAATGTATTACCCTGTATGTATGTGTGGCAAAATGTCTTAGATATACTTTCTCGTCCTCACAACTGCAGGGTTTTTTTTTCTCACTTTGACAAACTAGTTTGTACGCTCCGGATAATTGCATTTTAACCAGCAGAGGGAACCCCCGTCTTTATTATTTTATTCAAAAACAGACCATAACCTGTCACAACCCATGTCAGCGCGACCATAACCCACTAGACCGGGGTGTGGCTTTTTGAAACTGAGAACTACTTCAAGGGCACTTAGTAATACGAAGAGCTACTCGTTTGATACAGACTTCCCGAACAATGTATTCAAAATTAGTTCTGAGACATACAACGGTATTTGTATAATTCTGAAATGTACATTATTTTTCAACCAAACCTTTTTTTTTAACCTCTGGCTGTTCTGTACTTACCTTTGTACCATTTCAAGCTGTTCAATGAGCTTGCACGACTTGAATTGCAATAAATATCTTGAAAAATTAGGGTGTTCTAAAACTTTTGACGGGTAGTGTATGTATAAAATATTGAAAATGAAAATGCATTTTTTTAAAGAAAGAGATCTTCAAAAAAAGAGTTCAGACCAAAGTACAGTAGTTGAAGTAGAAAAAGTAGAAAAGTAAAGAAAGTAGAAAAATATTCGCATGCTAATATATTAGCAAAAAAATTGTGTGAATTGTGTGTTATTTTACATTATTTAACACTGATTTGTTATAACCCAATTTAAATTCTTCGGTATAAATAGAAAACAACCTCGTTCAAACGTAATCCTTTTGCATCATCACACAGTGGTCAACGGTCATTGTGACTGGTTAGATCTGGAATATCACAGATAAGAATGGTCAAATACTAATGGAGTCACTTCTATTGTTGTTGGTTTAAATATGCATTTTGGTTCACACTATCCTAACATGGGGCAAAAAGGCACTACGTCACCATAATTAATACGCTGTTTCTGCAGCGGTATAAATAGAAAACAACCTCGTTCAAACGTTTCTGCAGAAACTGGGTTGGAAAGTATCTTAATTATGGTGACGTAGTTCGTTCAAAACAGGTATTTCCATTATTGAGGAAGACTGGTCACCTGGGGAAATTCTCGAAAAGGTCACGCCCATTTTTTTGAACCAATCCGCACTCACGTCAGTATCAAGTGACAGACCTGTTGGTCCTTCCCTCTTAGGGAAAACCGAGAACAGAGCGACGGGACGTGCAGATTTATAAATAAGAGAAGACACCACGTACTGATCATATTATATATAATCTGTGTTTCATGTAAACATGGCCAGGCGAATAGGACGCCAGCGGAATCAGCTGCCAAATTGCTACTACGAGGGTTATCTTGAGAAGAGGGCTTTCAAAGACAGGGTAAGGAATCAGAAAAAAAAGAAAAAAGACGTCTTTCATTTAATTTTTATAACAGTTCGCAACACCGAAATTTCCTGTCATTGTTCTTTTTTTCGTTATAATCATATACGGTTATAAAATTTCATCAATAGTTTCTGGAAGTAAAGATTATTGTACTATATGTTATTCTAGGAAACTTATTTGACCAAATAATCGAAAGAAGAGAATAATGAAATTGGGGAAATGCAGTGCCAATGTTCTGTGTGGTAGAAAATGTGACTTAAATGAGTGGTGTAATAATAATTATGGCGCCATTATGAGATCATTATTATTTTCTGGTGCAGACACGGTGCATGTTAGGAGCAGTCAGACACAGTGGGTTTGATGAGGCACAGCGTCATAACCACTAATCAATATTATAATCTGTATTAACATAATGGATCGGTTTGGTGTTAACCAGGTAGGATCAAGTCAGTTGTTGTTCTATTTTGTACTGGACTGGCAGAAAAGTGCCAGTGTATACATGAAACTGCCTGATTAAATGTCATTTAAAATACACATACTGTAAAACATGACATTATACGACATAAGTAATTATTGATCAGGACAAGTGTTGTAAAATTATGTATATATATAGTAAAATTAATATTGTAATTTTGTAAACAAGACATAGTCAAACCTTGTGCATTAAACATAATTTATTGATTTCAAAAAGTAAAAATAAATAAATCGATTTAATCTATTATAGATTCAGGATACCTGCGTAAAAACAAACATGAAATGACCTGAACCGGCAGTCGATCTGAATTCAACTGAAAAAAAAATTTAAAAAAAATTCACGTGACAGCTAATTCAACAATATAGATTGTGACAATGTGGCAAAATGAGCAGCAAGTGACATTGTCTCCTACAGTCGGTCCACTTTTCTTTTAAACAGCACATTTCACCTATGTCTAGCCCAGGGCATCCAAGTTCACACACAGGCCCAGAAGGTAGGGCAGCATATCAGTTATTAGCTGGTCAGTTGGACTTTACCTCCATGTTTTTCCTGGCGTAGAGCAACTTCCTCCTCCTTCACTGACAGGTTTAGCAGCTTCGCCGACGTTTGTGGCTCTAAATGTTACACAACAATCTGACAGGGCAGGGTCTGTGTACGTTAAAGGAGCTGTGCTGCAAGGCCTTGACTGACAAGAATCACAGTTTTATCTTAGGATAAGGAATGAGTTGCACCGATACATCTAGCAGTAAACGTATGAATAAATAACGTATTGAAATATGCATTGACGTGATAGGGTCACAATTCAATAAGGTCTATTAATCTGCTGACGATAATGTACATGATTTATTCTTTTATGGCTCCGGGAAACAGAGAATGTTGATACTGACCCTAATTATAAGCATTTGTTTTTAAGCTAACATTGCTAACATTATTTACACAAACATGCTCACTACTATAAATAAAGCAATGTAATTGACTCTGGACAATAGTGATTGATTAAATAATGGAATCATGGATAGTAACAATTACACATGTACTTCTAAAATATTGACATGTAAACTTATATATATATATATATATATATACATATATACATGTATAAATACATATATATGTATACGAGGGTGGCCTTCACCTTGTTGAGTAAAAAATTGTTTTGTAAGAAAAGAACTCAATGACAATCGCTTCAAGGCTGTGCCTGAGGTGACAAACAGGAGGATTACATTGAAACGATTTTTTTAAATTATTTTTTTCACCCCATATAGGTTTTGTCCTGCCTTCAGTCCTTGGCACGTAACACTCATCATTATTCAAATTTCTTTTGTGCGTTTGGTGCAGACATCTCGCAAACTGTGGAGCTGCCTGTGTGGAACTGCAATCTACTTCTTTAATGACATGAAAGACAGCAATGTAAGTGCTGGTGAAAAAGTACAAACATGTAATGCTAACACTTCATCACAACGTTGATTGATCAAAAACATTTATTGTACGTGTGTGTGTTTGTGTGTTTTTTTTTTCCTCAGTACGTAGAGAAACTGGAGCTCAGCCAGATGATCTCAGTAACAGACGACAACAGCCAGGACATAAACTTGAATGCTGCCAGATTTACCTTGAGTGGTGAAGATGGAATCATCAAATTCACTGTGAGGGATCTTTCCAGAAACATGCAAGAAAATCCTCTTTCATTAAATTGACATCAAACGTTCACCCTTGTGCTCGGTTCTTTTTTTTACCCAGGCCCCCAATGCAGAAGCCCGAGAGCTGTGGAAAGGCTTTATCCTCTCTGTGACTCAGGTTTGTGGCGTTCCACATTTATCTCATTTATAACAAGCAGGAAGATTATCTGTCATTTTTACAATGCTACAAAATGACATAAAAAAAAACAAAAACAAACTTAACAACTGATCAGACCGTGGTTCGTTACTGCCGTCATATTATGAAATGATTATTATGAAAACATTTACCGACTCAGAAAAAATCCGTCAAACACAGGTGTACGAGCCAAATTCTCACACGCACGTCGAGCTACAGTGTAATTAAACGATTAAATGTGCAGCCTTGGCCAGAGCTACGATCAAACCACATTTAAACCATTTCCTGGTTTGAATGTATTTTGTTTTAACCTCACAGAGCTTATATTTAGGCACATCAACGTTTATAGTATACGCCGGTGGTGCATTGTAATATATGAAAAAGTGCCGATTGGGCCGGATTGAACACCTTATGTGGGCCTTATGTTTGACACCCCTGCTTTTTCCATCTTTACTGTCATTCATATAAACGCACCAGTCAACTCGTTGGTCTATAGTATTGTAACTGGTGTGACTACAGCATTATCAGCACTTTGTTAAAAACATTTAAGAGATTTAAGATTTATGAAATATTTCATACTCGTAATCAGCCTCAGAATGAGTGAATAACTCCAACTCTCCCTGCAGCTCTCAGTCCCGTCCTACCTTGCCCTGCTCCCAGGTCAGCTTACCCACCTGCAAGAGGCAATAGACAAGGAAATCAAACGAAGACAAACCTCCCCTGATCCCCCTGCAGTTACACCCAGCCTGCCACCGTGAGTAGAGTCGAAACAGAACTGATCCCACCGTCAACAGGTGGCGTCTTTCTAATATAGCCCACAGATGGTAGAATGAGGACACTGTTTGGTGCATCGCTCCTTAAACCTTGCAGTCATAGGTGTGTGTGTGTTTTTTCTCCCTCTCTCCAGCTGTTACCACAGCGTTTCTCGTCTGGAGGCAGAGCTGCTGCTGGAGAAAGAGAGTAAGAGAGGAAACCTGCTCCTGCGGCCTGGGAGCCACGGAAACCCCTATGCTATCTCCACAAGACAGGAGGATTACAATGGGTAATTACACCCACACACAAGGCCCAATGTACACAGTTACGATAAATGGTTCCGCATATCTAAATATGGACTGTCCTATATGTCATAGTGTGTGTGTGTTTTTTCTCCCTCTCTCCAGCTGTTACCACAGCGTTTCTCGTCTGGAGGCAGAGCTGCTGCTGGAGAAAGAGAGTAAGAGAGGAAACCTGCTCCTGCGGCCTGGGAGCCACGGAAACCCCTATGCTATCTCCACAAGACAGGAGGATTACAATGGGTAATTACACCCACACACAAGGCCCAATGTACACAGTTACGATAAATGGTTCCGCATATCTAAATATGGAAACGTCAGACTCTGGACTCTGGACTCTGGACTCCTTGGCCACTTCGGCTTCTGTATGTTCTTTTTTTATACTGGTCTTGCGTTTTTACTCATTCTGACATTTCTAGATGTTCTGTCCCCCTCCCTGTCTGTCTCTTTCAGTGCTGTGTTCAAACACTACCGTCTGAACCGAAAAGAGAACGGAGGCTTTGACATTGCTCTTGAAAATCCCGTGAGTGTTAATGAAGTGCAGACACACACAGTCAGAAAAAGCACCTGTTATACTGTATAAACAACCAGATGGGTGAGTGGGGGGAGGGGGGGGTGTGAACCACTTTTGGTCTGTTTTCATCCCCTACCTTCAACTGAGCTGCTGACCGCACGAGTTATAAAGTTTATACAAAAGGTCCTCGGTTTACGACGTCCCCAACCTACGGTGTTTCGCGGTTAAGTCGCTGCCCCTCACATTTCTTCAGAAAGTCTTGTTTCATTATTCCGACGTACGATTCTAAACAAGCGTCATTTTGCACGGGAGCAGAGCAGACAAATGGTCGTCAGCCAGTACCATACGCATAAGACGGCTTTTTTTATATTTGCCTTTTTTTTGCCCTTCACTAAGACTCCCAGGCATAAGTCAGACTGTGTTTATGTCATAGATCGTTATGTTACCACTGCGTTAGCGTAGGTGAGTGACTTTAAAGTATGTGAGTTACTCCACGCCGTAGGAATGGAGTTCCGACGTAAGTCGAGGATCCCCTGTAGTGTAATACTGTTTGTGCATTATTAAATAGACGGCAGAGGAGGGTGGGCTGCAGCACATGACCCCGGAGTGGATCCAAACCAAGGTAACCAGGGGGAGGACCGTTCTATTGGGACGCCCTGAGATTTTCACTGCACTCGCACTCGGGCAACACTGTAAAAATAATCTGTCAATTCTTATCCTTCTATATAGATGTTCACTGTTAAATTACACTGAAGCCTCCTGTGATTGGTCACTTGTAAATGACATGTCAGATGTGTGTTTAGCGCAAACCGGGCAGAGAAAACAAACGCTAATACAGGTCAAAATAAACTAGGTCATTTGGCAGAGCGGCTGAGTGTAACAGCAACAATAATACATGAATGTTATGATTCACCACTGGCATGACATCAAAAAAAACATATTCAAGTGAGTGTGATGGACGCGGCGAGGGTGCCAAGATTTGAATGTCAACATTTCCGTCCGAGAACCAGTCATTACTGAGACTTTCTTGTCAAGGCAGAAATGCTGTTGTGGTTGAAGTGCGAAGACTGTTTTGTCAATAGAAACTGGGTCACAACAAAACCAGTTTCTAATCACTTGCAATTGTTAAAAAAAAAAATTCTTCTTTGCAGGTGTCGTGTGTCACACTGCAAGATGCGATCAACTATTTAGTGGATAGAACAGAGGGAGTGATGACTCCTCTCATCCTGGAGGAGGAGTATGAGGAGAACATCTGTACGTACAGTAACGTACAGACCCAGTCACCAATCAATAACAATCACTTCTTGTTGGTTTTTTTTCTGTTGGATATTACACAAATATATGGGTAGTTACAATCTCTTTTCTTCTTTTAGCTTATATCCAATCAGACAATGAAAACGGAGAGAGTGTTCATCTGGTTTTGCCCCGTTTGCCCACCAAACCAGGTATGACGCCATTAAATCTCTGATATTCACCAGTAACACTTTCACCTGTGTGTAATGACATCAACCTGAGTTAAAAATATAAAAGTGACATTAACCTCAGGTGAACAGACTACATTATCCAAATGAGCTCAAGAGTCCCATTATTGTTGTCCATGTAAACAAAGTCCATGGAAACAACAGTAGTCTTTTACAGCCACTCCATCACTCAGGGCCAGATTGTTTTCCACATTCATCCAAAGTTCATTCCACAGTGAGTGTGGGCAAACATCACGAACCGTCCGCAGCAGTGATTTGTCATTCTTAAGATAATACAGAAACAATAGAGTCAACCTGAGGCACTGAGGTGTACGACCTAACCAGAGAGTAGGCCTAAGACGGCTTTTACCTGGACTACATGGTGAAAAGGCCGAGGAGAACTGTATGAATCACACATGGTGCTAATAGCCCATTAGCTGTATTTGAGCAATGCTAGTTAATAAAAAATCTTTCAGTCGGTAATGTTTTTCTTCTCATAATTTCATAAACAGTGGCGAAGAAAATAGAGGTGAGAAAGGAAGAGGAGGAGAAAGGTCCAGCTGTTAACACACTTCCACATAAGTTTGTTTGTTTGATTTATTATGACTTTTCTTTACATTAAAAATGTAGAAAAATAAGTTTTGTCACGTTGTGTTCCAGGAACAGCAGTTAACTCTCCAGTTCCTGCTCCTCGCAGAATGACGCTGCCCCGTGCTGGTGTTCCAGATCAGGAGGCGGTTCTTGGAGCGAGTCAGTACTCAGTTTAATTGTCTTATTTCTGACAATGGAGATCACTAATTGAATGTGTATTTCATCGTATGTCATAATTGCGGCATTAGCCTGATGTAAATGAATGATACTGATAATCGAAAAAGCCATTTGTAGAGTACATCTACAGTCACATGATAAACAGAAATGCAGTCAGGTGAATATATCATCCAGAGATTGATCTCTGTAATATTAAAGGTACCGTACCAGTATTAGGAGCAAAAGGGTTTTGGTTTTTCTTTTTGGTAATTTTTTTTTATTTTTTATTAAAGTCCGAATTTAAAAAATGGGTCAAATAATCTTCTGCTCCAAAAGTCTGTCACTAACTAATCTTTGGTTCTGGTCTTGTGTAATATTGCATATAAGCTCTTTAATTCATTACTACTGTTTAAAGAAATGTTTTAACTTATGTAATTATTCATCTATTTGTATATATGATTGTTCTAAGTCAGTATGTGTGCTGCCACTCCAACTCCAGGTAAACAGTTCATAAAAGGACAAAGGAGGGACAACATTTATTTTTTCCTTTTAAGAAATAGTGTTTTCTTCCAATTTTTCTATTGAATATTACACAAATATAAGGCTAATTATGATCTCTTTTCTTCTTTTAGATTTTATCCAACTACACTATGAAAACCAGCCCACCAAACCAGGTATGACGCCATTAAATCTCTGATATTCACCAGTAACACTTTCACCTGTGTGTAATGACATCAACCTGAGTTAAAAATATAAAAGTGACATTAACCTCAGGTGAACAGACTACATTATCCAAATGAGCTCAAGAGTCCCATTATTGTTGTCCATGTAAACAAAGTCCATGGAAACAACAGTAGTCTTTTACAGCCACTCCATCACTCAGGGCCAGATTGTTTTCCACATTCATCCAAAGTTCATTCCACAGTGAGTGTGGGCAAACATCACGAACCGTCCGCAGCAGTGATTTGTCATTCTTAAGATAATACAGAAACAATAGAGTCAACCTGAGGCACTGAGGTGTACGACCTAACCAGAGAGTAGGCCTAAGACGGCTTTTACCTGGACTACATGGTGAAAAGGCCGAGGAGAACTGTATGAATCACACATGGTGCTAATAGCCCATTAGCTGTATTTGAGCAATGCTAGTTAATAAAAAATCTTTCAGTCGGTAATGTTTTTCTTCTCATAATTTCATAAACAGTGGCGAAGAAAATATAAATTATTATGACTTTTCTTTAAATATAAAAAATGTAGAAAAATAAGTTTTGTCACATTGTGTTCCAGGAACAGCAGTTAACTATCCAGTTCCTGCTCCGCGCAGAATGACGCTGCCCCGTGCTGGTGTTCCAGATCAGGAGGAGGTTCTTGGAGCGAGTCAGTACTCAGTTTAATTGTCTTATTTCTGACAATGGAGATCACTAATTGAATGTGTATTTCATCGTATCATAAATATTAGCCTGATGTAAATGAATGATACCAATAATTGCAAAAGCCATTTGTAGAGTACATCTACAGTCACATGATAAACAGAAATGCAGTCAGGTGAATATATTGATCTCTTTAATATTAAAGGTACCGTACCAGTATTAGGAGCAAAAAAGGATATACCTGGTATAAACATATGCTGTGTTGTTCTTCTGCCTTACTTTTGCAGCTATTTCAGAGCTAAAACAGCTATTTGAGAAGAAGGCCAGGAATAACCAGTGACCACCCGACACATCAGCACCAGTGGCGTAGGAAATGACTCTCACCAGTAAAGAGACATCTCAGTCTGCACAAGTCCACAGGGGGCGCTGTTTCCACTCTGACAAACCTCACTTTACCACCTCACTCAGCAGTGGTGGCACTTTGAACAATCACCACTGTAGATGAACTCCTTGCACACGATTAATTGTATAAAAATGCTGTAAATGTGCCATTATCTTATAATTGTTAAATGTCATTGACATTGTTCTGCCTCATAGGCATGTGATGTAAATACTATACATATATTATGTATGTGTATACTGCAGTGAACAAAATGAAGCAGTGATGCTCGGTGAGCCAGGACTAAATACAGACTTCCTGTAGGGGACTCTTGTCTGATTTCAACTGAAATGAAACTCTGTCATCTGTGGTAACGTCATCTTATGGTCACAGATAGATGGATGGAAAGATTGATAGAAAGTCTTTATATTTCTGTACAGAAAAGTCCATCTGTGAAGCTGATGAAATGTTTGTATCTGGACTACAGACTTTGTTGCACTTTTGAAAATGACCACAGTGATCACAAATGTGTCTCACTCCTTTATTACCTTAGGGCTGATAAATTATTGTGAAAAAAAAACAACTATTTACATTAAAATTGTGACATGTGAAATAAAGTTAACAACTCTGAGCCGGACACTTGCAGGCTAAAATTAGACAGGATATGCAGTGGTACGACGAACTGAGACGAACTGAGACATGTGCAGGTGCAGCAGCGAGGGTTCAACACATCAGGACATACGTTTTAAGATTCACAACTCGGGTTCATCATTCAGAGCGGTCCGAAGCGCGTCAGCTGGACCTACAGACTCTACTTTGACCAGAACCTCTCTGTAGAGAAGAGATGTACTCAGGTTCACCCACACATACGGTAAATACTTGGCGTGCAGTCAGATGAATGAAGAACAGTCGTTTCCTAATCCTGACGCCATGGCTGAAAGTTCAATGACTTCACTGTTAACTGCTAACAGGACTACACTTCTGGGTTTATTATTTCGACTGAAATGTAGTGAATACTGTAACCTTCACACGCACAGAAAATCATTCAAATACAATTTTTTTTTTTTTCAATGTATGAAGGAAAGCAGATTTGAATGATTCCTGTTAGAACAGCACTCAGTACAACTCTGTATTAACTCAGTACATTTAAAGATATGTTACAAAAAAAAAACTTTTAATGGCAAAGTCTTCATACTTTACCAAACAATCAGGAAGTACAAAACAAAATACCCAAATGCTGATTTCCTGTCTATAGATTATGCCTTTAGGAGACTTTATTTTACCGACAATTTTTTTCAGTACTGACTTACACGTGTGTTCAAACCATCAGCAACATTCTGGTAGAATAAAAACCTTGGCCATCACACTGATTTTAATCTAACAATGAGGGTTGTATATTTGAAAGTTAACGTTTGTTTGTTAATATCTGATCATCAATCCTTGTGAAATGTTTGTGAAATACTGTGTGAATATAATAACCTAAACACTTCCTGCTAGTTACACTCATCTAAACTCATCTTAAAAAAGATCGTCGCTCGTATTGAACGCTTTGTCTGTCATGGCACCTGCCAACAAGAAAACAGGAAATGTGGCCACCAGCCGTGACATAGTTGGTCAAAGTACAATATATAAAACACCTCCCAACCTGTGATGGTTAACGGGGTCAAGGACATAGAGAACAGTAAGTCCAACTGACATTTGTTAAAAGTGGAACTTGTGAGTTCCACAGTGCGGCAGTTAGCACGCCTGCCTCGGGGACAGAGACGCCACACGCTCGATTGTTAATCCTTCTGTTGTCGCTTTGGATAAAAGCATCTGCTGAATGCATATACAGTATGTAAATGTAACTAATATCTGTAAATGTACTGAGTGTCTAACAGTGGTGAAACATCTGGCTGAGGCTGCCAGGTGACAATTATCACTAAGCTACGATAGGTTACAGTGACACTGTTACAATACATTGATGTACATAGAAAGGAACACTTCCTGTATACTAATACACAGTATTACGTAGTGCATTATGATGCTGTTCTTTGTAGCGTGTTGTTAACTTTTGGCCTCTCAGTTTAGAGATGACATGGAAGGCACAGGAAAAGAAAGAGAGAGAGAGAGAGAGCAGACAGAGGTCAGAGGTGAAGCCTGAACCTGAAGCGACAGCCGGCTGATAACGCAGCTGACATGAAGACAATGGAGCAGCGGCCAGCGCTAAATTGTGAACCTAGCAGCAGTGAAATCAATGCTAAACAACGATAACCAGAGAGATTTAAAGCAGTAAGACTACAGCTAATGTGCTCGGAGCAATTATAGCCAGAGTTCTTGAGAAGGAGAGCTCTGTCACTGAATATGCCGATGACTCACCCATTCCCGAAACCGCTTGTTGTCGTCATGCAACACTGACGTGAGAACCAGATATGACCATCTCACTGCAGTGTCTGAACTCTTGGTGGATATGGCTGCGAGTGCGGTCACAGCAGCAGGTGATCCCACAGAGCGAGCGGCGTTCAACGGGGGCGGGGGGGCGGGGGGAGCTGCGGATGGATTTAGTTGACGCTGGCGTTGGAGCTGCTGGTACCACTGTTCCTTCTCTGGCCACTCTGAACCATACTGGGCACCTGCAGACCTGTCACCACTGAGAAACTGCCATTCCACACCTGCAGGGGCAACACAACGACAGCAGAGTTAAGTGAAAGGCCAAACAAAGGTCTTATGAAACAGACACGTGGAAACAGACGTGGATTCCTCACCATGAAAGCTGGAATTACCGGCTGTGGGAACTTTGATTTGAAGGTATGCATCAGCTGCTTAGTTTTGGCATTGTAGAAAGAGAGTAAACCTGAACAAAGAGTAGACAGATCATATTTATAATTACAACACATACACTGTTTTCCAGTGGAACTTGTCTCGTAGCATTCTTGAGTTTTAAACAGTAAATTCAAGACTTTTTTTTTTAAATTTTCCTTTGTTTTGTTTATCTTCTGCCTCTTAATAATTTCAGGGTTGCAATACCAGCATTGGTGGGATACTCATACTCAAACCTTATGTCAATTAAGAATGGACCATGAACTTAATTCTAGATGTTGTCAGACTGTGAAAAAAACAAAAAACAAAAAAAAAACTGCAGTATTGGGAGAATCCCTGGACTTGAACAGGTGATCGTTTTTGGTGTAAGGCAAAAGTAATAAGTCACAGAAAGGGAATTGGTTCTCATCTGTCTATTTATGTATATACTGTATATATTGTATATTAACATAGCATATTCCACATGCTATTCCATTCCCTCAGGACGGTGAATTTCTCCATCCTCCACAGAACAACCGAAGAAAGAGATTTCATCCTTTCCGCCCCCCGTCTTTTAAATACCGCCGATGTAAACAGCCAGGACTAAATGCTCATTCGTCCATCGATTGACTGTTCATTTGTCTTTTCTCTGCTTGTTGAGCCGCTGCTCCTGCTGATGTGTTGTCACCCACTGGGTGAATAATGCTGAATGAGCTTGTCTGTGTCTTGTGTTTATTTGTGTTTATATGACCCAGGGCTGTAAAGTGGATCACTAACTCTGTGACCATGACAACTGCTGATACAGGAGTTGAATAAATAATCCAAACACACTAGTTCAAGTCATTCATTTGGTTTAAACTAAGTGAACTTCAGAGAACCTCAGAGATGATTTGTATTTCCAGCGTCAGTGAGGACCGGTGGTGTTGATCCTACCTTCTTCGTAGTGAATGTAAACGCCAATTGTGCTGGGGATTTGACAGTCCAGAGTTCGAGCTTTGTTGTTGTGCTTGGCTGTGAGGCTCTGCTGGAGCCAGTTGTTCAGGTGAATGCACCAGGAGGCGCTGCTTTTTCCCAGCTGGTCAAATCGACCCAGGCTGCGCAGGGCCACCCCGACAGCGAAGGCTTTGCTTTCCTTATCGAACCGAACCTCCCAGTAATGCTGTCCCGCATCGATCATGGTGTCAGCTACGATGGGAGAGGAAATCGCAAAATATTGTCGATTTTGGTAAAATATACAGTATATATATAAAAAAGTACATTTACACAGACTGTTCTTACCCAGGACTGTGTAAGACTCTGCTGTAAACCTGTCTCTGCCCGGACGGGCGGTCGGTCCTCTCTTGGGTGAGGCCAGGGCCGACCTGATCATGAACAAAACAGGAGGATACGGTTCTTCACAGTGGCTGGTGTGTGACCAAATGGCTGCTACTGCCTCATTAGACTATTCAATTAAATTAGTAAACTATTAAATACAACAACATGTGTTTGCGTGTGTGCGTGCGTGAGTGTGGGGTCAAATGCTCAGTTCCCAAATAAGGTAAAAAAAAAGAAGTGAGGTGTCTGAGTAGGTCATCCAGGTCATTTAAGGTGGAATGATTTAACAAATGGAGAAGTACACAATGCATGAGGGGCTCTACTGTGATGATGTGACACTACTGTAATGATGTGACAACTACTGTAATGATGTGACATACTGTAATGATGTGACACTACTGTGATGATGTGACACTACTGTAATGATGAGCACTTCTCATACTGCGTGGCCTTAACCTTTTATTTAAAAGAGTAAAAAAAAATCTGTGACAAATGATTGCAGCCTCAGCTGTTTATCATTTCAGATGGTAAAGTGAAGTCGGATGTAGAGAAATCCTGACGACTGTCTGTATAACACACCATCACCAATACTGACACACGTATGGTTGTTATGCCAGAGTGAACAGAAACCAATGTTCAAGTTCAGAGAATGCATGTAATTGTGAGTGGAGTCAAAAACGTCTAACGATCGATGCAGCACGTCTTCTTACAAACCTGGCTGGAGAGTGCAGCGGAGAGTTGATACGATTTTTCTCTTTGCGAATCTCCTGCACCTTCCCTCCGCTGCTGTCCCACTCCACACTCAGGTCCTCCACCTTCAGGTTCTGGTGGGCCGAGGCGGCGTCGAGTTTGAAGGTGAAGGCTGAAACAGTAAGAGTGAGGATGTGAGATACTTTGAAAATGTTTTTACGCACAGTAAGTAGACAAGCGGCAGTCAGTTATTTAACCGTCTCTTTTAGTGCTATTATTTCTGACCTTCTGACCTTGGAAATGGGACACTGCAGGAGGAAGGTGACGCTGTGGTGAATATGTCTCAGTAAGTCGATATGCGTGGGCTTTAGAAAGAGGAAGCCTCTTTTTTTGATGAGCCCCCCTCGTTTCAAGACTAATCTTCAGATAATCAAAATTGACTTTGTTTAAAAAAACATTATTTGAAATAATAATTACAAACGGCTTTTCTTTTTGGGTTATAAATACAACCACTGAGATCTGTATTTTAAATGCAAAACCCTCAACAAATCACTCACTTATCAAACTAAATTAAATTAAATACTAATAATTCATTAGCCATAACAGTGAGATCAATTTGTCATGCAGTTTGTTGAAAAAAAAAATGCATTCAACAGCTGTGCAATGTCATGCAGCGACCCCAGACAACCATCAGAATGTGTCAGGGGCTTGACCCGTGGTTCTAAGGCGACCCCACTTTTTTGACATTATTTTCAATGAAAAGAACCTAATCCTTGTACTTCAAATGGTCCTTTTCATACTTTCAATTTCACTGATAATCCTTGTACTTCAAATGGTCCTTTTTAAATAAGATTTCATACTTTCAATTTCACTGGTAAGCACAAGCCCAAGGTTTTAGGACATTTGGAACTGAGTTTCTATAAATGTTACAATTCTTTCACAGTACACGCCCTGAAACGTCTACTGAGGTCAAATTACATGCCCAGGATTCAGGACACCCTACACCATCAGAGCATGTGAGAAACCGGGAGAAATAGGAGGGGTCAAGGGTCAAATTGAATGAGATTCTCTAATTACAGTCCACCTTTATTCAGAGCCCAAGAACATTGAGACCCTTTAACTGTTCACATGACTATTTCACAGTAAACGGAGTTGATGTTTAATTTTCTTACCGTGTGTTTCGATTGTAACTGGTTCCGAAAAGTCTCCGGCCACAGCTTTGTTGCAGGCTCTCACTCTGAATGTCATGTAGCGGGTGTCAAACCGCAGCCCTGGAAACCGAAAAATAAAAAAATTAAAATAAAATAAAAATATATATATTTGAAAAATAAATAAATAATATATATTATATATATATATACATATATATATATATAGCTCCCTCTTCTACCTGTGATCGTGTGCTCCATCTCTCGTATCCCCTCCACCACCATCCAAGGGTAATCCTCCCTGATGCGAGGCGGACCCTCGTGATTGGTCCGTCTGTGTTCCAGGATGTAGTGGTCTATCTTGCTGTCGGGCTCTGCTAATGTCCACACCACAGTCACTGTGTTGTCACACACCTGACACTCCGACACCTGGATCTCTGGTGTGGCAGGAACTGCATGACAGGACAGGAAAAGACATTCACTCCACAGTCAAGTTGTGTTCATTGTTGTTGAGTTGTTGTACAAGAATACTCAGTGTGAAATTGTGTATTATTTGAAAAAGATTAGAACTGAAATGAAAATAACAAGGTAGGGTTTTATACGGTTGTAGAGTTGGTTTAATACAGTGTGAACTTTAAACTGTTTTACATACAATATAATAATAATAATAATAATAATAATAATAATAATAATAATAATAATAATTTAAGGTTATTACATATCCTTAAACTTAAACTGTCAACCTTAGGATCGTGAGCCTATGTGGTGTCACCTGGAATTCAAATGTGGTAGCCTGAAATGTCTAGTAATTGATAAAATAATGTACTGATATAATTATTTAATTATTAATAATTATTTAACTATTCCAACAAACCTTTCACATGCTCATTGAAGAAGTCCTGCATTTACAAGTCTGTCAGCTGTTAACATTTATCTAAAAAAAAGTGTAATATTTATTTTAAATTTCCGGTTATGGCCACCATGTACAGTGTTCTCATTTTGGGGGCACAAAAACACAACCCGAACAGAGTGTGTTCTGACGTCTATACTGTGTCTTCTTCAAGGGGGAACAAAGAAGTTCGTGGGTAAAAGACAAGTGAAGACGAGAAAATACTTTTCCTTTCCATCGGTCTCAGAAACGTTTTCACATGCATGCTTTTTTTTTTTTTTTTTTCTTTCTCAAAGCACGCTGTGTGGTGATAGAGAGAGTGGTGACCTACACCAAATGCATGGGCTGTAAAACAACCACAGTGGCTCTCTGAAGCGGCTAACACGTTTCACACAGCTGCAGAGCGTCTGTGGTTTCACTGCTGTGAGGAACATTCAGCGTACATGCCTTTTGACTCATTTATTTATTACTGTTGAATGGAACTGCTGACGGTTTCTGACCGAGTTCATGTGTCGCTACACAACATATGTGTGACTGCTGCCCCCGCGACCCGGTAACGGATAAGCGGATGAAAATGGATGGATGGATGGATGAATGGAACTGCTGACGGTTTCTGACCGAGTTCATGTGTCGCTACACAACATATGTGTACACAAAAAGTCAGCAGTAGTTGTATGGTCCAACTTCACTGATTGGCTGGTTTAACAGTTTTTTTAGTTTAGAGTTTACTAATTTTATAATGAAAATTATATTATCAAATTATAAAAATAAACATGAGATAAATAAATATAAAGTATATATAGATGAATTATTTTAACATAAAATATTGAGTATTACCTTCAGGAAAGCTTCTTTTTTTTCCAACGGTACATGGTCAAAAATCAAAACCAATTTCTGTGAGGATTTCAAGGGTGGACCTGGACAAACTAAGTTTGGATCTAGGTTTGTCGCAATGTGTTGAAAAGAAAAACGGTGTTGTGTAATCACTGTCATCTTAAAAAGTGACCAAACTTTGGACAGTACAAAATAAATAAATATAGGCTTTGAAAGCATATAAAGTCAACCTGATGTAACAGTGAAGTAATTAATAGTAATAATTCAACTGACTGCAGCTAGAGCTCTGTATGAATGGAAGTCAATGGGAAATGGTCCTATCTGTTAAAGTCCACAATAACTTTTAGGGAAAAACACAACACATTGAATTGCTGCATACTGTAATGCATGAGCCAATCAGCACGAGGAACAGTAGAGCATGCTATATTAGCCAATAGTGCGGCAAGTACGCGCTGTATTAGGTGTGACAGTAGAAATTAGCAAGAAGTAAAAGAAGAAGCTCAGTACTGCTGTAGTACTGCATGTTCCGGCACTTCCAAGTACTGTATGTAGTGTGTGCGACATCTCGGATGCATATTAGGTGTGAATGGCAAAGTAAAAAAATATATAGGTCACATTACGTTGTGTGTGCATTTACTATTTACGCCTCTGATTACATTCCATTAGACAAAATGTGATTGTGATTCATTTTATTTAAATGACTCTCCGCTAAGCTGTCTGTGTCTACAGTTAAACTGAACAGTGAATTTTAGGCAGCCTTTGTGTCTGCGTTATTTCAGTAAAAGAGGAGCAAACCTGGCAGAAACTTGAGGCTCTTCAACAACTCCCTCTCCTGGCTGAAATCCACCATCAGGTGACTCATGTTGTCACTGGCTTTAGCCTTCAGGGAGAGGCGAAAGGCTGGAGCCATTGTCACACTGCAGACAAAGAGAGATACACACACAGACAAACATAAGGAGCAGACACAAGTGTGGGTCATTATTAAACACATTCTGAGGCAAAGGAAAAAAATGGATGACTCTAGTAGGGGTGCTAAAAAAAAAAAAAAAAGTCATCTAACTTCACTGGTACTACGACTGATCTCATCACCCTGTTCGAGAGAGAGGGAGCAGAGCAAGAGAGGGAGCAGCACTCATCCTAGGTGGGGTGGACAGCAGATGGTTCAGACTTTGAAAGACAGCTGAACACAAGAGACAAAAGAATCTCAAGTGCGAAGTCTTTTCATGTCGAGAGGTCTACAGAATAAGTGGCTACTAGGGTTGTCACTATACCATAAAAGAGAGAAGTTGACTACGCATACGGAAAATACAATACAAACACCAAGTAAAACCAAAGATTATCCTGGTTTATTTTAGGTTATATATTTTATTACTTTGATACTTTGTTACAGCTAAATTAATGATAGCTTTGATTACGATGGATGCTATTAACTAATAGTTAGTTAGTAATAGTATGACTTCAACCGAAAATCAGTGCTGTTAGCTTTAATTCCTCAGTGGGGTTTAATCTGATTCCTTTCCGCAGCTTTTGCTAGAAGTGTATGGTGTGTTCACTTGCAGGATGCTTCCCCAAACTTGTATTTTTTTCTTTATTCCTCTTTTGAGAGTATGAAAAATTCTACAAATTCAAGAACTTTCACAGATGGCACTAACCGACTCCAGGGAAGCCATGCAGTCTTAGGGTGCACTTACACTTGGGCTAGTTGTTTTATACCACGCTGAAGCCGGGTCCTCTAATTCTGAGGCCCCCCTGCAGTGCCACCTGGCAGCCCCAGGGGGACACACATCCCACTTTGAAAAATCGCTATCACTCCATCATTGGACTCCCCCCCGTCTGTCTATCAGTTTCGTATTCAGTAATTGCTTTTAGCCATCTTTTTTATTTTCTAACAACCATAAGGATAAGGCCAGTCTAAAGATAGCGTGTTCATACCCAAATATTGGTATTTTATTTTTGATTTTTTTTTATATATAATTTTGACAACCCTAGTGGCTTCAGGTTTGAGTGCATGCACGCTACATGAGGAACACAGCTGATAGGTTACTGGAGGACATGACAAAAAAAAGGAAAGCATTGAATGGCTGATTACTATACCTATCCTTAATGTCTTTGGCCGCCTGGAGAGGAGCAGAGAGGGAAAGGAAAAAGAGAAAGGAGATACGGAGCAAAGAGAAATCTGAGTCCCGTCATCAATGGACACAATAAATGTTGCAAGTGTCTGTGTGTTAGAGCAACTGCTAGTATGACAACACAAGAAAGACAGATTTAATCAGTGCCATTCCATCGTCAATCAATAACAGTGGAGTTAAAACAAACCAGAGAACAGCGTAGCCGTAGCAACAGCAGCAGCAGCAGTGTTACAACGGCAGAGGGAGATTTTCTTTTACCTGAGAGAAACCATCAGTCTCAGAGGAGCACAGCGTCTGATTGGCTAACTCCAGTAGCTCCTCCGAACTCTCCAGAGCTTTGGAACAGGCAGTCACCTGACTCTGGGTACACAGAAAAATCAAATATTATTAAGACAGTTTACCTACATAGTCATATTCCCCACAGTTTAGATCAGGGGTGTCAAACTCATTTTGGTTCACAGACAGCATACAACCCAATCGGATGTCAAGTGGGCCAGACCAGTCGAATCATAACATAACACGTTTTTCCCCCTTTGTTTTCATGCAAAGAAGTACAAGTATATTAGATATTTATTATTATTATTATATATATTATATAAATATATCATATTATTTATATATGTTTAATGAAAAATAATTTTCCAAAAAATATGCTGGATATTTAGTGTGCTTTTTTTTTTTTTTCAAAATTTCAACACCGTAGCGGAACGATTTTGGCCCGCGGGCTGTATGTTTGACACACCTGTTTTAGACTCATCTCCATCGTTTGATCAGAAAACCCATGACTTTTTTTTTTATTTTAAGCTAGTTAAAACCACTTTTTAAACACTGTAACATCCTTGGCAAAGAATTACTGCCAAGTCACATGTGAACATAAGGTTGATCCTGGTGAGAAAATTCTATCCCTTTTTAAGAGCGTGAAAAAGCAAAATATATATGTAGTACAATTTTAGATGAGCTAAAACTGTTGTAAATAGATATGATTCATTGAAATTCTGTTAACTTCAAGTAAGTCGATTTTTAAATTAGAATACTGTGGGACATTTGGTTTTATAATTTTGATTTCACATCAAATGAACCACAGACTTCAATGTAAGCTGTGTGTTTGACCAGTAATGGGTAACTGTGGGAAATGTGGTCAGTACCTGGAGCTCATATGTGCGGGTGGCTCTCTCCTGTTTGATACGCGTCAACATGTTGTCCTTCATTTCATCAAGAACTGACTGAAGGGTCGTGAACTCAGCCTGCAGGTCTTCCTGCACTCGGGTGGAGTTTGCCTGGTGGCAGGTAAAAAAAAAAAAAAAGGGAGAGTAAGTAAAAAAAACAACGACATTGAATACTGAAAAAAACAAACAAACAAACAACACTGGTTCACAGGTATATTTGTAATTTTACCTCCAAGTTGTCGAGGCTTTGTTTGAGGGTGCAGACGAAGTTTGAAATTTCCTCATTCTTCATGGTCAGGGTGTGGGTGATCTTCAGCAGAGATTCCTGATGGTACAAATGATCAGACGTTATTATTGCAAACACTATATCTTTATACAGATCAAAATAAACCTCACATGACATCTGCTGACTATGATATTACCAAATGGAATGTAATATATAAAAACTAGGGCTGTAACAAATTTGTATTCTGCAGAACCATTTGGTTAGTGCTGCATCCTTTTCAAATTTACAAGCAATTATATCGATTTTGGAAAAGACAAATGTTTGATATGAATATGGCAGGAAAGCATTAAAACACTAGCCTAACATTAAGGTTCATAAATATTAGTACACTGATGCAATTTAAAGTATTTAATTTAGACATAAAGAATTTTAAGTTTAGTTGCAGCATCTTATTTTGCAGGACAAAATTATATATAATTTTTTTTTTCACAATACAGTCAGGTGTGTTATCAGCCTAGTGCTTTCACCTGTCTTAAAGATGATTGGCCTCCAGTGCTGCTGAGCACAGAGACACTTGTCAGAAAGAATGGAGCACATGTATAATTTAATAACGGAGCAGCACAGTCACTGAAGTCGACTCCAAGGAAACGAACAACACACACAAACACACACAGAGGCATTAAACAATATGAAAAGTTAATCTTGTCTTAATTATAAAAACTAAAAAAAAAAAATTGTATATTTGCACATTCTTAAATCCCTAAATTAAAATAAATATTTTTAGCTTGTGCAAATCAATTATCTCATTCCTAAAGGATCATCTAAGGTATTTATATTTTATTCCTAAAGGATCATCTAAGGTATTTAAATTTTTTTTAAATTTTTCATATCAAAACCCACTGACACCCATGTGAATAACAGAATTTTTAGATTCTGTGAGGACCGTCAAATGTGTGTATTGTCATCAACTTTAGATATGTTAGAGTTAAAAAATGTAAATATTCCCATAAAATAAAATACATTGTAGCAACACAATGAGGCATGTGGCGCTTTGGCCCAGAGGCAATGTCTCTGTCATTGGTGTGGAACCCCAGGGTTCACCTCCTGGGGAAGTTCGAATCCCGGTTAGGGCGGTTGGTACCTTCCAGTGGACTCACCACCCGCAGGAAGGTTCAGGGGGGTTGGTACGGTGCAACGGTGGCGACTGCTGCCCCCACGACCCGATAACGGATAAGCGGATGAAAATGGATGGATGGATGGACAATGGACATAGACAGCTATCTTTAAGTGGTCAATAACGATAAAAACATTTTTAAGAGTATTTCAAAGATTTGCTCCAATTACGTGTCTCCTCCTTTCACCACACCCTCCTTTTTAAAGAAACATAATTACAGCACTGTTTGAACTGTCGTAAACGGTTCATTTCCACACATATGACAACCACGAACACTGCAGCTATCTTCGGTGATTGACTCAACATGACTGCTTGTCAACAGTGATGCTGGAAAAGAAAATCGTGTATCGTCACATCTCTAATTTCACCGCAGCCTTTCACTCTCTCTTGCCTGTGTCAGTGAAAAGGCTCATTCATAGTGGAGTCTTGGGAACAGAATGCAGGCGGAACTGCGCCAAGGCCCCAGCTCCGTCCCTGATTTCCACAACGATATAACAATAAAAAATGATGACGCCAACACCACGGTGTCTAAACGTAAGATACCAGTTAAAAAATAAAAACTGCTGTTAAACACAAGCCCGTGCCGCATCCGCAAACTCCCACCGCCTTCTCCTTTGTACACTACGCCCTGCTGGAGCAGCGTCCCCCATCACAGACACCTGTTTCTCCGGCTATAGCTTACTTTCTGGTCCCCCATCCTGCCACCTGGATGCACCAACTCGGCCCGAGCCGCGAAAACCTCCGTCTTTTTGTCCGTTCCTGGTTTTCTTGATTTACTTGAGCGTTAGCTGCTACGGGAGATGAATCTCTCGACGGTCACCGATCTCCACTAACGTCTTTGGAGGACGTAGAGCGCATGCGCCAGAGATGTTTCGGGCATTGTAGTTTCAATTGGCTGACCGTCCTGAGCAGCGCTCAGTGAATTATACGTCGCCGTTAATAATAATTTAAAACAAGTAAATGCGAAAATAACAGATGAGAATAATACGCACATGAAGAAAAATAAAATCCCTCGTGTGGTGGTAGTCTTGGTCAGTATTCGCTAAAGAACCCAGTAAATGAAACCATGAAACGCTGATAAATATGACCCAAAGCTATAGTTAGCTCTAAACAAACTAGCTGTTTAGTGGTCTCATTATGTCTATTCTTTGTCTTAATCTTTTCCTTCTCCCTCACATAGGCACAAACAGTAGGAGGAACACCCATTTCGTTCTTTTATTTATTTATTTATTTTTAAAGCTCATATAAGGCTTGCTAAAAGTACTTCTGTGTTTCTAATCCTAGAATCAGTACCTTTCAAACCGTATTAATAACTATTTTAAATATTACATATTTAAATATAATCTCAATCAACATCCAAATCTGGAACCAATCCATTTGACTTGACTTGACTTGAAATATGTTTAAATACTTAACATTCAAATGTTTTCATTTAAATACCATATGGCCCATGTATGTAGTTGAATCGCCTATATTGCATCTTTCTTTTTCTTTTTTTTTTTTTTGCAAGCTTTTTTAGACGTAACCACACACACACTCAGGGGATCTTCTACGGTATGTCTATATGTCTATATGTATTTGATGTCTGTTGTGTCTGTGTCAGCCAATGCAGGTTGTGGTTGAAGCTTGTATCATAAAGTTCAACTGGTTCGCTGCACCTTGTCACAGGAAGCCTACAGTTCTTCTTCTCTTTTTTTGTAACTAAGATGCAGCGAGGGTACAAAATTGAACTCCCTCCATTTGCTTTGTGGGTTTGTGTGTCTTTTTGGTTGTTTTTAAGCCAAGAACATTCATAAATCTTTATCTAGGTACTGCATGTGACACACACCCTGCAAAAGTTCTCAGGATGTGTGTTCATGTTTTTTTTTATTTTAATTTTTTTTTATTGGAGAAACGAGAGAGGTACATAACTTTTTTTGTGTTGGGTTGTTTAATATAGAAAACTGTCTGTGGTGTGTGTCATTTTTGTTTTAATTAATTCAAATTTTCATTGAGATTACTCCCTCACAGAAACCAGTCCCCCATTGAGAGCAGGATATTCTCATAGCACAGTCACAAACTTTACTCCTCCTCCTCTGGCTCGTTCTTCTCAAACCGGCCACCCACACATGAATTTGCTTCTACAGTTAAGGTAACTGAGAAATCAGGACGGCAGCAGAGATAGGATGAGTAGACGAGCCCGTGTGACAAGAGAAGACTGAAATGTCAACTCTAGTGCTGTTCACAGGTGAGATTTGACATTTAACAAAATCAAACAGACGTCCACAAAAGTACAGTAGGCTCAGTTGTACTGTTTGATGGTGCTGTCTAACTATGTCGCTGTATTTCTCTCTGTCTGTCTGTTTGTTCGACAGTGTCATTCGTGGTCATGATGGTGTCAGGTCAGGAAAATGTGGATCTGGATGATACAGAGAAAAGGATATACATTGCCTTTGGCTCCTCTTTGGCCCTGCATTGCAAACTGGAGACAAGAAACTACGCAAGGTTTCTAGTGCAATGGTTTTTCATTCCCTCTACAACCAACGAGTCACTAAGCATCTTTCAAAGGGTGGTTACAAAGGAAATCGGCACTGAAATGACACACACCGTATCAAATGTTACACTCAGTGGACGGTACAAATGCAGCGTCAAGGACGAAATTACCTTACTTTCAAGCAATTGCAGCAAGACGGCCCATGTGACATTTAGTAAGTATGTGCTAATGTTGTATGAACGGCTTAACAGCTAATTGTGTATTCAGTAAAAATTAACTATTGCCTCATAACCAGTATAATTTGAAACTTGAGGACTAATTAAAAAAAAAAGATTTATGTATATGTCTCATGTGCTTAATTTAAATGATTTATTTTACATCATTTGGCATACAGCAACAAAATAATTTTACTTATACTAACTAAAACAAATCAAACAGTAATTTGTGAAGTGCAAACGTTTAGGCAAGGGTATATACTGTATGTACTATGTCTGAATCAGGGGTCTTAATTCAATTGAGCCGGGGGCCACTGCTCTTCGTCGTTTCATTGGAGGGCCACATCAGGGTTCTATGTTAAATACATATATATATATATATATACACATATACATATGTTTAAATATATGTATATGCTATGACAACAGATATACCTGATTATTTTTTGTGTCCTTCATCACAGTGAAGAACTTAATGGAAACGACAGAAAACCCGTCACTTGTGCCGAATAAAACAGGTGTGTGTGCAGGAGTAAATGTGTGTGCGCAATTATATCCAAACACAAATTAGAGCATTCAGTGTCTTATCTAACATACCCGGTAAAATATTAGTGAAACATGCCTTAACAGTGCACTGAGCTGATGTAATAATCAATGGTTTGACAATTGTGACAACTTGCACACGTTGTAGTCTAGTACTGACATGATATTTTCTCACTTGTCTGCCCGCAGCCACAGAATCAAACAACCTCCTGGGCATTGACTGGGGGATATGGATCATTTCGTCTGTTTCACTTCTCATTCTGATCCTTTTGCTGGTTTTGTGCCTCACACTGAGAACATGTCAGAGGAGCAGAGGTACAAAACTCTTTCTACTCATTTTCTCAGTTGTGATCAATCATCCTGATCCATGGCAAACAGTTGTAAGAATTTTCAGTTTGTGATATCTTCACAAGAACCTGATGAAGAACTTGAACTTTGTGTAGTTTACTGTAACACCAAAAGCGTAGGCTAATCTTAAAACATCATCGCAGAATCTAGGGCAACTGAGGCACTCTGTTGCTGCTTGTGGTGAGAGCATGGCAAAGTCAGAGACGTGATATTTCTAGAGTGGCAGGCTCCAGACTTCGATTAATCGATTAAGGTAAAGGTTACAAAAAACCAAGTTTTCCCGAAACAGAAAATAGCTCACATTAAAGGGCAGAATAAACCAATTACCTTTACCCTAGAAACAAATTGAAATGTTCGTTTAAAAAGGAGGTGAAGGTGTTATTTTCTTGCCGTTACTGTTACTATTTATGTCCTTACATTTTTGTTAACGTGTTTAACATTTTTAAAGGATAAATATCTTTATTGCTCTAACTGGACATTTAATATTGTAAGTAAAACCTACAATGAGTGAAATGTTATTCTCTTCACGTAAAAAATTATGTTTCAATTTTTTTTCTAGTGTATTTGCGAGGTTAATTAAATACGTGTTTGAGAACTTTGAGCATAGCATTTTGAGCATTTGACGTGTACTGCTGTCACAGTGAACTTATTCAAAAAACTTTTTTTTAAAATGACCACAGAGTTCTTTTTATGCCATGTTCAAAATATAGTTGTCACAGGAAGTGGTCAAATGAAACAAATGTAAAAACATAACGAGAAAGTCTACGAATTCGTCTTTATAACCCTCTCATACCACAACCCTCCCCCCCCCCCCCCCCCCCCCCCCACACACACACACATATATATTCACTTTTGTGCTCAATATAATAATTATGATTTCTATGGAGTAAGTAAACTGTGGCGCCCTCTTGAGGGAATAGAAGAAGAAGATCGGACAAAAGCAAATAAATAATAGATATGTACTTAATATTACATTAAAAAGACCTTCATTTGACCTTCATTCACAAATGGTCAGAGTCAAAACTTTTTATATATCACTTTACAACATTAGAATTTGCATGTTGCTTGCAACAAAAAAAACGTATAAAATATAATATTAAGATAAACATGAAACATCGTCTCCTGTTTATTATTAGAACGTTCAGGAATATCAACATTTTTTACATTTTCATATTTAAAGTAAATTCATTTTCAATCATATTATGTCCAGGAGAAGAGCCCATTTACGCGAACACACGTCCTGTGGCCAACAGACAGCCTTCACCTCGAGTTGGGACGTTGACCACTAACCCGAAGACTGTTCCCTCGTCCATGAACCACTGGACCTCCGGCACCACAGGCAGGAAATATGAGCAGAGCACACGCAGAGCCAAACCGACAGGCGGCCACAGAGCTCTTGTTTAGGAACACTGCTCTTTCTGAAAACAACTGTGTTGTCGATGCAACAGAAGCTGTTCTAAGGCCTTTTTTTGACAGACAGTGTTTTGATATTTTCCTATGATTTCCTTATATTTGTGTTCATACCGATTATAGAACTTCATAATATAATCAGGGATCCTGTTTCTTCACCTGGGCATTTTATGTAAATACGTTTTCTATTTTCTATTCTCTGTTATTTTAATATAATTAATGATGGTGCAGATGATAATAAGTAACAACAGTCAACATCAAAAACGAGTGTTTCATTATGGAGTCCTTTCTGGAAAATGAATCTCTTTGTATGGAGTGTTTATTAAATGAATGATGGAATTAAGTGCAAGAACTTTGATCATGTGTGAAATGTGCACATTTAAAAAAAAATAGAAAACCTTTGTGTGCAGAGAAATGCTACTCTTCATGCCCACTCATGCTGTTGTCACAGTGGAAACGTTTTTAAAAGCTTCGTTTGAAAATTTCCGTCGTGGTCTCATCAGACCACCAAAACATGTTTTCACAGATTTGAATCTTTACCTAACCGATGCGGGGTTTTTGAACAGGGTTTAGTTGGGGCAATTTGGGACATAATTTGTCTGTTAAAGTGTTTGCAACCCTCTTCCATACCCAACATATTATACTAAGTAATGAGTAAACGTCAATGTACCTTTAAACCAGTGGCTTTTTAACCAATGGCATTACTTTTGTATTCAAATGTGAGAATTCCTCTGTGCAGATTATGACATTTGCTTAAAAATGCAACTCAGCTAATGGCTAATAATCCTCCTACAGTTTGGAATATATATTTAATATTATTTCTGAACACAAACATACAGTGAGTCTATGGCTAAACATTAGTATATATATATAATGCTTTTATATTTTATATAATTATTTTAGTTTTTAGTTAAGTCCAATATGTATAAATAAAGATAATAACAATTGTGCTGTCCCTGTTAGGCTTCTTAAAAGACAGATACTGTATATTTTTCAATGTTTGACATTGACACTCGCTATTCTCAACCACAAGGTGGCAGTTGGTGCCCGTGTCGTGTATAAAAATTTAATTATTAATTTATTAACATTTAAAAAAAAATGTTAGTGATAGTATAGGATTCGTACTATTAATATTTAGGAATGGGCAAGTTTTGTTTTGAACTTGAATTATAATTTTATTAAAAAGTCTCTCGAATTTTAATCTCGCTCTCTTGTTTGGAGTTCATAAAAACGTAAATAGCTAAAAAAAATAGTGTGTTTATATGTTTTTAATTATATTTAATTTTAAGTACGCGTTTCGTGGGCCGTTTTGATAAAGTAATTTCATAATCCTATATTACATTTTGTTTTATTATTATTATTTGTGATCTGGAGCACGTGTAAAACGATCACAGCAGGATATCATTTCTATCCTAACGAGAGGACGTCGATCCTCGTTGGCGTGTGATTGGTTAGGAAGGTGAGTGGCGCTTTTAAAGGAAAAGCTCCAGTCAAAAGTCAGCTGACGTGCGGGGAGAGCAGCAGATCATCGCTCCCTCCCTGCAGGATTCGCCTGTGGAGTGAACGTTACAGGTGGAACACCAGGGTGGAAACGTAAACAGTGACAGTACTTTTACTTCCGAGAGACCTGTGCCTCAGCTGCGGGTAAGTCTTCGGATCGGAGCCCCTTGACTTTGGGATCTTTTGGATCAGTGTCTTGTTGTTATTTGCGTTGCTGCGGCTTGTTTTAAGACTCAGTGACGGCTCAAAAGTGCGGGATATAGGAAAGTGTGAACCTGTGGCAGCACCACGGAGAAGCGGACACGCAGACAGAGACATTTCTCTCTGACTTATGTCCAGATTAAAGGAGATCCTCGTCTAATAATAGTCTAAAGACTAAGCCGGAGCAGGAGACACGGTGCAAATACTTCAGTGTCACAGCAGATGGTGTTGCAGTTACTGGGCGGTGTCGTCAGTACAAGTGTAGGCTTCGGGTGCAGTTGGTGTGATGAAAGTCCTGAGGGGAGGTTCTGAGCAACACACACCCCAATCCCTTTGAACACATTTTCAAGTTGCCACTAGGAAAGTTATCACTTTTGACAGCTTTTGGTGTTTGTGTAAAACTGTGTAATACTTGAATTACTGGCATATTGTTAAAATATACATTCAATTCAATCAGGTTGTCAATCCAGGGATCGCGGCCCCATTGGGATCTGTGGTTGTACTGCTGAAGGGTAGCCACATGTTGGTAGTTTGACTATATAATCGACATTATTTGGCCACTTTTTTTTTTGGATTGTTCAGTATGTAATGCAAAATACAACGCTAACGTACCTTTTTAGAAATAGGCATGGAGACAGATTAGGAAAAGAACATGGAGGACAAGTCATAACGAAATGATAAGTGACCACCATGAATATTTGGTACTGTAAGAACTGAGAACTGTGTAATAACCGATGACTAATCAACCACCTAATTAGTCTACAGCTAAAAAACCCACTGTTCTCTAACCCTACCATTCTCAGTGCCAGTGTGGTTTTATTCCTTTGTCCATTGTTGTGGTCAAACACAGTACGTTAAAGATAATATTTAAACAGATAGACATTTCCTACTGTGTTATACTGAGAAGTACTTTTAGGTTTACTCTGATTTACAGTACGACAAAAAGCTCTAAACTCTGTTATGACTGAAGGTAACTGAACAGAAGTGAGCGCTCTGAGGGGCGAGAGTGAAACTCAATAGCTTTAATGAACGTGAGAATCGTAGCACGCGATACTGGTTTCTAACCAGGAAAGCGGATACTGTACGCATGGTGAACGTGAACTATCACTGCGCTCGCATGCGGGCATTGCCCAACGTCAAATGTCACGCTGTTGCTCAGACACTGAGGTCAGAAGGTGAGGACATGGATACCTACAGCTACACCACAAATACGACGCTGGCTCTCTGAGGTTTCAGCTGACTCTCGGTGCTAACTCCTGATAAATGTGCAAAACACTTTGTACAGTCAGAAGCACAGGCGTCGGGTTAGAAACGATAATTTGGCCTCCCTTCAGCACTGTGTGTGACATGAAACTTTTTTTTATTTTTCCTCAGGGCAAAGTACAGTATGATCTGTAATCATTTGGCCCTTGAGCCATGTCAGTCTTCATTAATCTACATTCTATTTCTCTCTTGTTTGTTGTGAAACTGTCTGACAGATGACACTGTGTTCCACGGAAATCTCTCATCTGCACACATTTGTTTTTGTTTTGCATTTGCGTTTTGGTCAGTAATTTAGAACATTGAGAGTCTAAAGGTATGTTCCGCTGTTTTCCTTCCGTTCCCTTCCTTTCCCCGCATTTTGCATGTGTGTGTTTTTGTGCGTGCATGTAAACCCTAAACCGCAGACTCGTCTTTAGTGTGTCTAAGTGATTTGTCCAAACACGATTAATCGCAATTAAACCACCCAGAGGAGGAAGTCGTGAGTGTTTTTTTTGTTGTTGTTGCACAAAGCTGTGCTGAGCACGTTGTCTTGTGGTTGCCTTTTAGTTTGCTGGTCTACTATCTGACTGTCTAGAAAACTACACGTGCGCCCGTGATGACTTCTGCTGATAATAACTCGGCTGTATGTCACACAGTGCTGTCATTATAACACGAGTGATCGGCGCCTCCTCTAGTGTAAAAGTACAACCGGCCGCTGAACCCCGGGGGGTTTGTTTTCCACTCTGACAATACGGTCCAAAACACCAGGAGTGTCAAAGGTGGACGGCCTCCCACAACCGGTTTCCTGTCACGGTCCCTGTCATGGAACACTGTGCCACGGCCGGCTCACAGACTGGCCGACCCTGAACCTCTCAGACAGGCACAGAGAGAAACAGGCAGCAGCAGTCAGACAGTCAGTGAGTCAACCGACTGTACGTCAGCCACTGGGGTGAATCAGTTACAGCCTGAGGAGGCCTCGCCCTTACAGTGTCATGTGAAATGTAATCATTAATGGATTGTGAAATTTTAGGTTAAGGCTAATGTCACCATGTCCCTGGAACACACCGTTTCTGTTGTCACGGAGTTACTAATCAATTTTTTTTTTTTTTGTCAATGCTATAACAAATCAATTGCTTAGTTAATTAGTCGTATTGGCTGTGTGACATTTGGACCAGCTGATGTACAGGACATCAGTTTACACTGCAGATTTAGGTCAGCAGCATGTTGTGTGCCGGCGTCTTCGTATTTTGGTTTGTCTGACTTCTGTCTACCTCGACGTCATGTTGATCATACATTCAGTCCAGGAGTTGCTGTGCAGAGTTTTTCTTGGTGTGCAGCCCGACAGTTCCTTCCTGTGCAGGGCCGTTGTGACTTTTTTTCTGAGTCAGTTGTTTTCCACTCTGGTCTCAGGGTCTCAGAAGTTCACTCATCTTCCTACGCTTTGGTTTAGGTGTTGAAGTTTCACTGTCATTGGTTTTGTTCTTTGGGGGCTTATTTGGAATTCTTGAACTAAAAATACTACTTAGTGTGTTTCAAAGTACTGCAGTGCTTCTTGAAAATGCAAAACATTCCAACACTAGAAAAAAATTTGCGAAACAAATCGCACCCATAGATATTCAGGTTAAATATATTATAAATAATCACACCAGGAAAACTTAAAACGGCTTGATAAATTCTTAAATGTTATTGAACTCTAGAGTGAAATATATTTTTTAACACAGCCCAGATAATAATTAGTCAACCATCCATCCATCCATCCATCCATCCATCCATCCATGCATATAAAGCAGGGCTAAAACCGATCATTTCTTCAACAGCATAACACAGGCGCAGGTGAGGGACTTCATTATCTGGAACTGGAACTTTGGTTTTGTTATGAGTCACGGTGATGACGGTGTCACGCTTGTCTCTGCACGTCTGGGGTTCTCTTTGTGCACAGCTTGTGATTGTAAAGACTCCATCGTCAGGCAGTGTTAGATAGTGGAGTCAAGGGAATGTGATATAAATATCCCCACGCTTCCAGTGGTGGGAGTCTCTGACGGTACTGCCGTAGGCTCTCTTCGGTCGCCTGCACCAGGTCGTTCGCAGCCTTTGTGCAGCCCACTTGGTTCATATTCTGTTGTGTCATGAGTAAAAAGCCCTTAGGCTGCAGCTGCTGCAACGCTGATATATTTTTTTTCAAAATTTCCGTGTGGGAAATACACGAACGCTCGCGCAGACGCACACACTGAATGTACACTGTTTGTACATGTGAGCACACATTTGTTTGTTTTTTTTTCAAAGGTGAACAAGGGTTGAGGCGTGGAACTGTAGTGTGTTTTATAACTGATTCTGGAGCAGGTTTTACTGGATTTACTGGAAGAAGAAAAAGAAGCTTTATATACACGGTAAGTCACCTGTAACACGAGGGTGAGAAACCGAATACAAGCACACACCTCATTTCCTGTCGGTTTAGGACAGAACAGATATTGTTAACATGTACAAAAATAATGTGCTGTGTTTTTGATTTACTAATTGTGCACCAAAGGGTCCCAACAAGTCAACAGGTTCACATGCCGTTGTCTGCAAAAGAGATTTGGGCGGTGATTTGTGTTGCCCGTGTCCAAGTTCAAAGGTCAAAAATCCATGGGAGGGTCCTTCCTTGTGAGATAAAGCCAGTGGCAAAGACACAACACAGAGAGCCGTTCCACTGACACATAGTCATGTACTGGACAGATACAGTAGTTACAAGTAATGAATCTTCCGGGGTCGAGATCCAGTCCTGCTTTTTGAACTCCTTTCCAAAGGCAGGACATGGATGATTTTGTACACAAATAAAAAGGAAAGTAGAGACTTTGAATGAAGAGGATGACTAGAAGTAGCAGGTCAAAAGTATGTATGTATTTATACATGTGTGTACATATGTGTATATACATACTGTATATCAGCAGGCAGCCCTTTTTGTGTTTTGTTTTTTTTAATGTTATATTACTTTAGGGTCATTTCAACCACGGGATCCCGTGATATCAAACCGACTGTCAGTTGATCACCTCATCGCTCATCTTCATCATCTCAATAAAATGTAGTATGTTAAGCTTTTATTTAGAATATAATCATGTAAAAGAATGTATTTATTTACTTATAACGTCGATCCGCCCAGTACCTCGCTGAACTTTTAACCTCAGCCAATAATCAAACAGTAGCACTTCTTAGCTTCTTAGAACTGAGAACTCAGTCATGTCCCATTAGTCAATCAGACACACAACTTCAGAAGGAACCTGCGATGTTTAGTTACACTAAACATTACCCGTGTAAAAATGAAAATTTTTTTTTTGAATTTGTCAGGCGAAGCACTGTAGTTTGATTGCGTTAGAAAATCCGCTCTGAAAAGGCACGATCCTCGTTGAAAACCTCCCCTACCGTATGCACCTACCCACCTCCACCCCTAAAACACACACAAGTGCACATGTCAGTGTGTGTGAGTATGACCCTGAGTAAACAAAGCAGAAAAGCAGGGGCCAACTGCTACGTGCTCTATTATTGTAGTCATACCTGCCTGTCTGCACCGTTTAGAAGCATCTGTCAAAGGCTGTCAAAAACCACCAGCACTCCTTCGGTCCAGTTGTAGTGCTCAACCTGAAGCCTGGGGGAGGGAAGGTATGCTGGTTGTTCTTTGAGAGCAGATAAGAGCTGCGGCTCTGCATACATGCAGCGGCTCGTCCCGCTGGGTCACGCAAAAACAACATCGTGGGAGCGGAGTTTAAAAATGCTGGCTCAGAACTCCGGCTACTGCTAACAGGTGTGAAGGAGCGGTGTGAGGGCCTGTCAAGGATTCTAGGGTACTGAAATTGTATCTATCCATCCATCCATCCATCCATCCATCCATCCATCCATCCATCTATCTTTTTAACTTGGCAATACATAGGATATGACTAGATGAGAGAAATCAATACATGCACGGACATCAGCTATTGCATCTCATTTACCAAATGCTCGAAATGTTTCGAAATGGGATAAATGTATTGGAGCTTTGCTAAAAACATGTATTTTAATACAACATATATTCCATGAATATCCCATGTAACTCAAATAACATTAGAAAAAAAAACCCTCTGCTTATTTTTCTCCTAGAAATCAAAATCCCGCAGCAGTCTGGTGCTGCTGCTTTTAAGCAGCGTGCGGGGGAAAAAGATAAGAGTGGAGTTTTTTGCTTTGATATTCCACTCTCCACTGAGGTTTCCTTTAAATCCTGGCAAAGAAAAAAGTGTGCTAATGAATTTTGAATAAGTTTCCACGGTAATGTTTGTCGTAACGTGTCCAAAAGTGTCAAATCCCAGGGCACTTATGCAATTGGTTGTTTTCCCTCTGCATGCATGCCCGAACCTGATCCGATCCACTGTGCTGTGTGAACCCTGCTGAGCCCAGAGGAAACAGGTTCTTATCAGGGAGGAGGACAGGAAGAGACAGAGACAGAGAAGGAAGAGAGAGTGGGGGTTTGTGGGCGATGTCGTTCACTGTGGTTTTATATTACGATCACTTCTAATAAATATTGTGTGCGTTTACCTATTTTCCCAGCTGTCCTTGAAGTATCCTCAGTTATGTTGCCTCTAAGGCTGAGTTTAGCTATGTTCTGTTATGTGGGTTTTTAAGGCAGCTTGATTGAAACTAAATTACATATGTGATGTGCATAAGACTGGCTATTCACTGCAACTGCTTTTTTGTTTTATTTTAGTAATAAACTCATTCATATCACTTATTTAATGTCTTTAATGTCTAAATAAACCCAGTCCTACACATTTTGGCCTTGTGGAATGAAAAGTACCCACAGAAAACTCATAAGCTAACAACATGAGATATACTGTAGCACCTTATTTTATATAGGTAAAGTAAACGTGTGTTTTTCATATATTTTCTCTTGTAGAAAGCGGTACCAGGAAAATGATCTCCTCCAGCACCCTTCACCTGTAGGTGGGCAAAATGGCTTCTTCGCCCCCTTCCAGAGAGCAGACCAGCAGCTCATTGGCGCTACACTGGAGGCTAACTCCTACATAGATAGCAACAGAACCAGGACTCTCCCTCTACTGTGGATCTGTACCTCTTTCTGCCTTTACCACTTTTTGTATGAACTGCTATTAAACACGACTTGCGGCAGTGGCGCACATGTCCAGGGCCACTAATTCAACTGGAAAGAACCACATCTGGACCAAGACCTCGGACCATGACGCGTCACTGAGAACGTGGTGCGGGCCGAGTCGGGCTGTACAGCTGTTTTACACTCTGAACCATGTCCCTTCTCTCAGTCCTAAACATCATCTGCGCAGCGATGCTCCATGTGTCAAATGGCGCACTCAACACTCACTACTGTGTGCCACGAAAGACCGTCCTTTACCAGAGTAAGTCACAAAGAACTCATGGATGGAACAGCTTTTCGGACCG